ATGTAGTTGCGATTTCCTTAATGTCGTTGCGCTTTGCTTTATGTAGTTGCGATTTCCTTAATGTAGTTTTGTTTTTCTTAATGTAGTTGCGCTTTGCTTTATGTAGTTGCGATTTCCTTAATGTAGTTGCGCTTTGCTTTATGTAGTTTTTTTTTGCTTAATGTAGTTGCACTTTTAGATTTGTAGTTGCAATTTGCACTTCAGGGCCACCGTATAAACCCCCCCATCTCCAGGTTCCACCGTCATGGCGGACATTGACATCCATCCATGTTTTCCTGTTTAACGGTGTAAAGGACGGCAGGTCCTAAAGCCTCCTCACCTTCAGAAGCTTTGATCGCAGCAGGATCTTCATTCGCTCTAATCAGAGTCACTTTAAATCTGCGGCGACCATTTTAAAAGCGTTTAACTCAGAAAACATGAAAATTACAAAGGTTCAACTTTTAGCAATATAGACATTTTAGACAAGCTTAGATTAATCCAGAGATTAGCAGACATATATCACATATAGCTTCCCTTTGAAGACGTCCAGAAGCCGTTTTATTAATCCAATTTTCAGTTGTTTATACTGCATTCGTCTATAAGGTCCACAGATTAAGATTAATCCAGAATATTCATAATAAACATCATCCATGATGAGAAAATCGACACACAACGTCCATTTTTTGACATCAGAAAAATGAGCTGGTCATAGCTAATGCTTAGCATCTTGCTAATTAGTAGGGGTGTAAATCACATCCATCATGGCGATTCGATTCAGTGTCGATTTCCTGATCCAACGATTCGATTATTTTCGATACTCAAGAATACACCACGATACGATTCCATTAATTCGTTCATTTTTTTATTTTTTAACCTTACAGGCGAGACAATGTTTCAAATTTGAAATAAACCAATGAAAGCTGTAATATCGTTATGCATTTTATTGAGAAACAATAAACAATATTGTTTTTATGACCGAAATTGCTGAAAACAACTCGTGAAGTTTGACCCGCTAGCAGAGCGAGGTGCGCGAGAACGCTGGGACCCTTTTCCCACCTGGATCTCCGCTCTTTTTGTCCCTCCATCGTCGGACTAAACTCGCCCCCACTTCCTCGCCGCCTCGGCCGTATCTAGACCCACAGCGTGTAGCACAGACCACGCTTTAATACTGAGCATAAAGCAAAAATGTCTGCATCAAGCTCACTGCGACACACTGCTGTAAGAGTATAACCAGGAAGCGCGGTAGGAGGGCAAAATAGGTTTAGCGCCACCTCAGCACGGGAGGGAGAATTACGCCCAGGAGCAAATGGATAAAAATAGACCGGAGGAAAAAACAAAACGTATCGATGCATCGGATCGTCGGCTGTTGGATCGATGCATCGATACAAAACCATTATTATTTACACCCCCTTATAAAAATCGACACACAACTTCCATTTTCTGACATCAGAAAAATAGCTAATGCTTAGCATCTTGCTAATTAGACTTTCTTCCTCAAACTGTCTGCGATGTTTGGAACGTTTCTTTATATCGTCTTCTTACCTACAAGACAAAAGCGTCCTCATCTTTGTATGACTGCATTTCATCCAGGGACAGTTGATGACGTCTGTCAGCTGATGATGAACCAACTAGTTATNATTTTATTCTAAGTTAAAGTTAATCTACTGATGCTATGAAAGTAGGGAGTACCAATATGGCTGCCGGTGGCTTCACCCTGGAATCATCAATCCAGTGAATAGAGATCAGTGGAAGGTGTGGATGATGTAACGGGTCAGGTGACATGTGGTTACAGGTCCGCGCCATGGTGGACTCTCTGAAGGGAAGAGTGATGTCATCGGCCAGGTTTCAGCTGAGAATGAAGCAGCGTGAGGAGCAGCGGGCCTGGAGGCCCATCCAGTGGTGGACGCACACGGCCTCTGTTCTGAGCGGAACCATGGAAACGCTCATATCTGCCGCCTTCTCTCAGGTAAACACCCCCCGCCCCAATGGCGGACATTAAAATCCATCCATGTTTTCCTGTTTAACGGTGAAAAGGACGGCAGGTCCTAAAGCCTCCTCACCTTCAGGAGCTTTGATCGCAGCAGGATCTTCATTCCCTCTAATCAGAGTCACCTTTAAATCTGCGGCGACCGTTTTAAAAGCGTTTAACTCTGAAAACATGAAAATGACAAAGGTTCAACTTTTATCAATATAAACATTTTAGAAAAGCTTAGATTCTCAATAATTCAACCCCCATGTTCATTTTATGGGATTAACAGACATATAGCACATATAGCTTCCCTTTGAAGGCGTCCAGAAGCCGTTTCATTAATCCAATCTTCAGTTGTTTATACTGCATTCGTCCATAAGGTCCACAGATTAAGATTAATCCAGAATATTCTTAATAAAAATAATCCATGATGAGAAAATCGACACAAAACGTCCATTTTTTTGACATCAGAAAAATGAGCTGCTTATAGATAATGCCTAGCATGTTGCTAATTAGTAGGGGTGTAAATCACATCCATCATGGAGATTCGATTCAGTATCGATATCCTGACCCGACGATTCGATTATTTTCGATACTCAAGAATACACCACCATACGATTCCATTAATTGGATCATTTTTTTTATTTTTTAACCTTACAGGCGAGACAATGTTTCAAATTTGAAATAAACCAATGAAAGCTGTAATATCGTTATGCATTTTATTGAGAAACAATAAACAATATTGTTTTTATGACCGAAATTGCTGAAAACAACTCGTGAAGTTTGACCCGCTAGCAGAGCGAGGTGCGCGAGAACGCTGGGACCCTTTTCCCACCTGGATCTCCGCTCTTTTTGTCCCTCCATCGTCGGACTAAACTCGCCCCCACTTCCTCGCCGCCTCGGCCGTATCTAGACCCACAGCGTGTAGCACAGACCACGCTTTAATACTGAGCATAAAGCAAAAATGTCTGCATCAAGCTCACTGCGACACACTGCTGTAAGAGTATAACCAGGAAGCGCGGTAGGAGGGCAAAATAGGTTTAGCGCCACC